CTGCTTTTCAATACTCTAAATACATCTTTTGCAGCATAATTGAATGCATCATTTGATCTCTTGACTGTGCTTCCATGAGCATTGATTGTGGATCCAAGCTAGATGCAACCATGGTAACGCACACTTTTCCCCATATAACATAATGCTACATATCGGTCCCGTTGTGAGGATTTTGGTCTTCTTTACATTGATTTGTAATCTATACTGAGGGGACAATCCGTGATTTTCATCAGCAAGTACTTCAAATTGTCCTCTCTTTCAGCAAGCAGGGTTGCATCATCTGCATATCTCAGGTTGCTAATAAACTGTCCTCCAATCCTAAAGCCACATTCTTTTTCATACAATGCAGCTTCTCTAATTATTTGTTCAGCATACAGACTGAATAATTACAGTGAAAGGATACATTCCTGACACACACATTTTCTGATTTAGACCATTTCCCCCTTGTTCTGTTTGCACAACTGCTTCTTGATCCATGTACAAGTTCTATATGAGCACAATGAAGTGTTTTGGAATTATCAATCTTGATTTTTCCTTAAGCAACTGTATGTTTTTTAAGTTAAATGAACTATTATCTATCATCTAGTCAAAACTAAATAATATAGATATTGTAGACTATAAATATGGGAAATGAAGGCAAATATAGGCTAAGGAGAAGAAGGTGTAGAAATTTTATTTGTATTAGAATTACCAAATAAATCTAGTGGTCTGCCTACTCATCTCAAGGGGTTAGCTCATATCTATCCATCCATCCATCCATCCATCCATCCATCCATCCATCCATCCATCCATTCATCTATCCATCCATCCAATCTGCCATCTACCGGGGAGACTTGAATTTTTTACAAACCCGAATTTTTGGTATTAACAGGACATACATTATTTCACATGAGTATATAAATGATTTTTCCATATTGTTTCAGCATAATGGTCTAAGAAACACCATTAAAAAATAAAACTATCAAAAAATAAATAAATAAAATTACATAAAACAAATAAATTTCATTATCAAAAAAACCTTGTCATTTTATCTCCCTTTTGATACATGGGCTTGATCTGGCTTTTAAGATTTTTCTTTTCTTTTTCTTTCAAATTGGGGTTTATCTCCATTGATTTTGTTATTGTTGGTAACTTTCTTCACTTTCTGTTATGTGTTTTGGTATATGAAACCCAAGTTGTGTGACTTTATAGTGACAATAACTAAAGAAGTGTTCCTGAGGGGTACGGCAAGAGAGGTGTGTGTGTATGTATGGGTGTGAGGGAACGGGGAGCTGGTATCAAGAAGTTCAAGAAGGAAGAAAATGTTTTGATGATTGTGGTAACCATTGTACTGCACTGAACTCCTGAATGACTGAACTCCTGAATAGTATGTCAGGATTATATCTTAATAAAATGGTTTGGAAAAAAATCAACAATTTTAAAGAAACAACATATTTAAAGGCAGCAAAATATCTAAGAACTTCCTATAAAGAACACATGTGCCATAATGATTTCATCTGAACCCATAAGCAGAAACTATGTTAGATGCTAATACGTGAATCCTTATAAGGAACTTGAGAGTTTGGGGTCTGCACCAAGGAGCGTGTAGGGCTATGCTTTCAGGCAATGGTAGGCATTTTATACCTTGTTAGTTTCAACTGAATGCTCAGTGTTCATTACTGTCTACAGGATTGTTGGGCATGACTATCTTATTAATCTCCTCTCTGAATCATAATTGTAATATTCATGCCACCTTGGTGGCACAACAATTAAAACAATGGGCTGCTAACAGAAAAGTTCATTATTTAAACTGATGAGGTGCTTCGTAGAAGAAAGATTTGTTAGCCAACTTCCATGAAGAATGATAACCTTGGGGAGACAGGGGAATACAGCCACCAGAAAACAAGCACGGGAAGCTCTCTTCAGTATCTACTGGAGACATTCCACTAGGAGCGAGATCCTGTACTGCCTGGTACTGAGAAATCAAATTGAAAGCTAAGTTGACCAACATTTCTTAAAGTGGGAGAGCAGCAGCCCCTTCTGATACACTCTCCTTTACCATTGACCGACACCACGAACTGCTTCTGTGGACCTTGCTCCTCCTGGGCAGTTTGTTTTTCATGACCCCTGAGGTGACCAAGACAGCCCAACCTCTTTCCTTGCTGGCCTCTGGAGGCTCTGTGTGGACAGCAGACCAGGAGGCAGATTGGTGCAGACATTCTCAGAACCCAAGCAACACTTTTCAGCGTGTTTTTTTTTTCTCTTTCCTGTTTTATTCTCTGATGTCCTCCTTCCACAGCTGCCCCCACCCCACTCCAGCACTTGCCTATAAACAATAACACTACCAAAGAAGCATGAATCTTCATGTAAAATGCTGTTTTTTCTTTTCCTTGACTTTTGTACTTTTGTTCTAGTATAATACTTTTAATATATATATTTTCTAGTTCTTACCCACTTTGTCTTCCACTATGACCACAAACTCCTGAAAATATGCATTCACCTCAAGGCCAAACAAGCAGGCACGCTATCAGAACAGGTGCACAAACCCGCCCACAGTCATGCTGCCATAGCAACAGAACTCCAGTTCCCACACCCAACCACACCTCAGCCTCTGGTCTCTTTTTTCTCTCCCGTTCTACGCACATCTACCCGCCCCCCTTCTATTTTCTCCTATACTTTTTCTTTCTTTTAAAATCATTTTATTGGGGGCCCTTATATCTCTAACATTGCATACATCAATTGTATCAAGTATATTTGTATGTATGTTACCATCAGCATTCCCCAAACATTTTTTTCTTGAGCCCTCTTTTTCTCCTCATCTCTTTTCTGTCTAAGAATTCTTTACATAATTTTGCCAATATCTTGCAATTGTGAAAATATTTCAAATTGAAAGTAAGAAAAGAACATATCATAGAAAAGATCATCCAATACTTATATGAAAAAAATAAGTCATCATGACCAAGGAGGACTCATACCAGTGATGCAACAATGGTTCAACATTCCAAAAACAATCAATGTCATCCACCACATAAACAACAAGGGACAAGAAACAGGGTCAGTTCGATAGATGTGCAGGAAAAGCATTAGACAGTATCCAACACCCATTTCTGATGAAAACACTCAATAAAATACATATGTAGACGAATGGATTAAAAAGAGAACCCAGACATGAAACCAAGCACCTATGTTTTGGTTATTATTGGGTGCCATCAAGTCAGTTCTTACACACAGAGAACCTATGCACAACAGAAAAAAACACTGCCCCATCCTGCCCCATCCTAACAACCGTTCCTATGTCTGACGCCATTGTTGGAGCCCCTGTGTCATCCATGTCCTCGAGGTCCTTCCTCTTTTTTGCTGCCCCTTTCCTTTACCAAGCATGATGCCCTCTCCAGGGACTGGTCTCTCCTGATAAAATGCCCATAGCACCTATTTTTGATAAAGGACCAAAGCATATTAAGTGAGGATGAGGTTGTCTTTTCAGAGTCCAGAGTGCTAACCATTACACTATGGAACCAAGGTTGTCTTTTCAATAAAAGGTGCCAGAAAAATTGGAATGCCACCTGAAAAAGAATAAAACAGTAGCCATATCTCACACCACATACGAAAATAAATTCAAGATAGATTAAAGGCCTAAATATAAACCATAGAATGAAAAGGATTTTCAATGAAAGAGTAGGGACAAACTTAGGGGTCATAAAAGAAGGAATAAATACACAACTAATTATAATGAAAAATACACATTACAGAAGACAAATGAGGAGACTGAGACCTAATTAAAATATATTTATGTAAATCAAAAGACTTCAGTAGAAGAGTGAAAATAAGAACCACTGACTGGGAAAAATATTTGGTAATGATATATCAGATAAAGGTCTAATTTTAGAAATCTATTGAGTGCTTCTGCACCTTAATAAAAAGTACAAGTAACCCAATTAAAGAATGGACACAGGACATGAATAGAGAACTTACTGAAGATGACATCCAGAGGTGGTCAACTGTCCTATGAAGAAATGTTGGTTTGACTACCCAGTTGAGAAACACACATTAAGAACACTAAGATACCACATTGCACCACAATTCTGAGCAAAATTTTAAAATAGCAAAACAAAGCAAACATTCCCCCCCGGCCCCACCGCCGCCGGAAAATAGCAAATGTTGGAGAGGTTAGAATTCTCTATGGAAAACAGTATGGTGCTTCCTTAACCAAATGCAAAGCAAATAAAAATACCTTGTGATCCTTCAATCCCTCTACTTGGCATATACCCCAAAGAAATAAAGAAAAAAACATGAATCGACATATGCTTACTCATTTTCTTTATTGCAGCAATTTTTATAATAGCAAACATATGTAAACAAAAAAAAATCCTGACTGTAGAGGAATGGGTAAACAAATTCTGCTACATACCCACAATGGCTGCATCAATGGGCTCAGGGTTAAGAATGACTGTGAGGAAGGCACAGGGCCATGCAGCGCTTCCTTCTATTGTGCTTAGGACCGCCATGGGTTGGCGCCAACTAGATGGCATCTAATAACAACAACAACAACACACAATAGAATAGTATGCCTCTTTTAAAAACAACGAAGAGTCTGTGAAACATCTCAGGAAATGGACAAAATTGGAGGACATTTTGCTCAGCAAAGTTAGTCAATATTTCATGACACCATTTTTATGATGGCAAACAAGGGGGGGGGGAATGGTTTTCACACCAAAGGAAACGATTTTCAAGACCACAAGGTCTAGAGTCTTCAAGACCATGAGGCCAGGAATGGGGTACAGGCGGAGAGGGAAGGATAAATAAGGAGGGCTGGTGGGGAACGAAAGAGAAAGACGCTGAATAGAGAACCACCTGCATGGGAAGAAGGGCTTCCTGGGACACTGTCCCTGGATGGGTTGGGCTGCGCAACTCCATAGAGTGTGCTTGTTTGGTACGTGTTCTATTTCACAAATAAGAGAGAATGATCATCATAATAAAATGAATACAATTATTTTTAAAAGAGGGGTCACACACTTATAAAATCCCTCCAGATTCCATACCCACCAGACCTAAACATTGGCCTCAGTGGTTATAAAAAGAGGAAAAGTAAAACTGAAACTGGCTTAAATGATTTCATGACACAAGCTTGTTTCTAACAGACAAACAAAAACACAATGTTGAAAGTGTACAATGCTCCTGACATGGAGGATTTGGGTCAAGTCAGTCACTCACAAAAGGACAACTAGGCACGAGACCCCTGTTATATATATATATTGAAAACCAAAACAGAACAGGATAAAGATTTTCATCCCAAAAGAAACAAATGTTGCTGCTTACGAGGGGTGGGAGGGGAAGGAACAGGCTGATAGGAACAGGCTGTTAATTTTGGTAAAGGGGACATGATATTCTTCAGGAGGGATACGAGCTCAAAAAAAGGGAAGTATAGGTAAGCCATTGGGAAGTTTGATAAGTTGTTGAAGTTTTTGAATGTAAAAATAAAGATCTGATATTAAATTCCCACCGAATCCACAATAAAAAAACAAGATCAGAAGAAGCATTCCAAACTCTTGAAACACGAATTTCCTGTTTAATTAGTCCATTTATGCACAATACCCAGGCCAGAAACAGAAGCAAAGCAGGCAAATTCCTCTCTCACATATGAGAGATACGTTTTGTTAAAAGATTTTGTGTTATCTATTTTGAGTACTTGGGCTTCTGGGAATCTTGTTTATATTTTTCATGGGTAAAACTTCTAAATAGCTGAGTCAAGATACTTGAAGTATTACTCTAATTATTTTTAGAGAATTAATGGTGCTTTCTACTCTGGAAATCTAAAGACTTGAGCTTTACTTTATATGGAAAGTCTTATAGAGGAAATGAGTGTTAAGTAACTTTGTTATAAAGCTTTTCTTACTTAAGTTAAATAAAAAAAAACAAACATTTTTTGGGGGGCCCGTACAACTCAGCACAATCCATACATCCATCCATTGTGGCAAGCACATTTGTACATATGTTGCCATCATCATTCTCAAAACATTTGCTTTATACTTGAGCCCTTGGTATCAGCTCCTCATTTATCCC